CTGAGTGTGTTCGCAATGCCCTCTTCGTTAGTATACAAGTCTGGCAGGGAAAGGCAGCAGCGATGAATTAGAGAGAGCAGTAGTTACTTTGAGTTCCGTGTAATTTATGATTCTGTTAGTTTCGAGCTAGTGAGCCATAAAGTGTGTATTTTGCACTCGTCGAGAGCGAAATTATCGAGATTGTGAATCGTTGTGATTTATAGCGTGTATTATAAAAGTTGTTAAGTTTAAAGTGACGAGAAACGAACTGATTGTGGGACTTCTGTGTACTAAAAGTTTGTATCGAGGAAGAATAAAATGGTTTAATCAAGAAAGGACTTGTATTGCTGATGATCCTCGTAAGGATTTCTACTGGAAACAAACAAACAAGCAGATACGTAACAGGGTGTTAGTTGTGCAGGTGGCCAAATGTTCTACATACTTACGAACAAAAGAATTCTCAATTCTGTTTTGAATGTTTTAGAAAGCCATTGGCCAGGTGGTTAGTGTGCTCGACTTGCACTCTGTTGTTCGAACATGCTCGCTCTTTCACCTGTGTGGGCGTTATAAAGTTACGTCTAATCCCAATTTTCAATTCGTTGGTAAAAGAGTAGCCAAAGAATTGGTGGTGGGTGGTGATGACTAGCTGTCTTCCCTCTAGTCTTTCACCGCTAAATTAGGGACGGCTAGCGCAGATAGCCCTCGTGTAGCTTTGCGCGAAATTCAAACAAATGAAATCTAAAGCCATCCGCTGAAGATTACACTAGAAGTTATCGAACGATTTTGAACTTTCCAAATTTTCAAACAGCTTTATGTTGCGTCATCGAGGTCACGTGACTGGAATGGCGCCCTTTATTTTCTAGAACTATCTTGTTTTTTCATGAATGCTCTAGTATTTACTAGATAGGGTAGGCGGGTATATATAAGAGGGGACAACGTGACGCGAGAATAAGGTAATGTGTGTGTAGATAGTGAGTAATTGAACTGCAGTCAGAAGTATTATTGACGTTCGTTGTTATAAGGTTTGTTTAGCGCGATTGTTGAAGTTGAGTGTATCGGTAAAGTTATATTCGGAAAGAATAAACCAGTTTTATTAAGTAAAGACTTGTGTCGTTAAAATTTCATCGGAACGAAGTTACGGAAAATCAATTAACAAACGGAGACGTAACATTTACAATTCTGCAAAGTTGAAAGACGTCAGAGAAATGTAAAAAAAAAAAATAAAAAAATAATCACAATATGTCGCTGTTTAGACATTCTAAATGAATCAGTATGTCTATATTCGCGAAACATTGAAACTATTGATATGTTTGCGAGTGATTTTGTGACTATACAAATTGGCGACTTCTTTCTCTGAATATCACTGTTGTCGGCAGTGAAAGTCGCTAATCCTTTTAGCAAACGTTTGTCGCTAGAGCCCAAAAGTCGCTATATCTAGCGATAAAATCACAAGTTGACAACTTGTCTCTAATACCTTACCGCTAAAGTCTCATGACGAATCAAAGGAAATATCCTAATCTTTCGCATGCGCTCAATGAAGCGTTGTAATGTTAGATGAAAACGGGTGGTAATCATAGTATATTGAATACTCGCTTATGTACCTATTACTTAAATTATTGATTATTTTTATGAATGAGGTTCTGAAAAGCCCCAAGAAGCTAACAAATAAAAGGCGTTATTATATTTTTGTTTAACAACAACAGGTAAATTAGATGAAAATACGTACGGCCAATGTAAATATATCGTAATTTTTCAAGTTTAACAAATAAGCCGCTCACTGAACTGTCCAATCAAACGCGTTTACCTACAGCAAGGCCTGCCCACCAGTAGGAATCGTCTGTAGTATAGAGATAACAGGTTGTGCATGAAAGCAGAAAGTAAGATTGAATCAGGGAAGAAAAAGAAAAATTCATATCTAGTCCCTTAATCATATTCACAATAGGTAAGTTAGACTTTGGTATTGCGTGGGTGTACACAATTATATGCAAAGGTTTTTCTTTTGTTTCCATCACCTTATTAGTCACATCTTTACTTACTCCCCACGCGCAGCGTTGTTCGGCTCGTGCCAGTGATCGCATGGTCTAGGAAAACTTACTTTTTAAAACTACGACGGGCACAAATGTAGTATTGCGTCTGTAATTGTTTAGTATATCTACCACACTTTGATAATGTTACATGTGGGGAGAGAATGACCTGTGGATCAAACAGCTGTGTGACAAATAGTAGGATGGCTAAGTGGAAACAGCAACAGATAATAAAACAAGCAAACTTAATGTACCAAAGAAACAGAAATGACTAGTAATATGTAAGTCAACTCAGGAACGTGGTCAAAACGTCGTGTGTCAAATGGCTAGAACTGTTTCAATGTGTTTTTTACGTCCACCATTTTCAAGTGTGAAATATCGATGGTTTGAGTAAAATGATTGAAATAATTAATTTTTCTACTAATACTGTGTTTCAGGCATTAATACGTAAAGATAGTCTCTTTTTAGAATTAGGAAATCCTTTATCAGAAGGGACAAAGTTATATCTATTACTTAGATTATTATAATTATATATTCTTGTAAATTGAATAATTCAGCGTCATTTATAGTATACTAGGAAAGGAAGTGATCGCAGAGAGGCGGAATGTAACGACTGGATCATTCGGGTTAGTATTAGGAAAACTGTTACTAGTGGTGACAAGTTTAATAAATTATCGTGGATTTTAAATTCATACGAAAATATCACCGTTCTAATACGAAATCACGTTATTGTTTTACATCGTTTCAGTATAGTAGGCTCATATTGTTTAATATGAAAAAATTATACCAACGTCTTGATAATGAAATAACATTAATATTTTTTATAGTTTTGATAAAAACAGGATCAGAGTTCTCCAACTTCCATTACTGTATATGTTACAGAGTAACTGTAAGGGGTGCAACATAAACGCCCATACAACTAAGAAATACATAGTAGTTGCAGGAGACGAGGCCTGGACACCGACATTCCTTAGTTAGTTGTTACCCGAAGGGCATGTACGATAAGTTGCAAGTTGAGGAACCTATACAGCAACACGTATGTTTTGAACGAGCTTCGCCAGACTTCAGGGTGCTTGTATGACTCATTCAACCACTGGCGCCACTTCGAAAGGGTGCGTTTAACGTGTAATTAAGCATCATAGCGGGAATAGAGATGAAGTGTTTTTGTGTGAAGAAAATAAAATAACGTATATCGACAATTATGTGTATAATAACCAATTTAATACAATCTTAAATTTTAGTTATCTAAACAGGTAGAAAATAGTTGGTAGAGTTACACTACAAAATTAAAGCGAGCTTCAATGAAGTTTGGTAACTGACTGAACAGGAAATAATGGGGTAAAGGTTGGTTTCTGAGCTTTACTTACACTTCCAAAACCCGAGGTCGGTATTGAAACACTCACAATTAAATCAACTTTGAACATCAGTGATCATCTTATGAGAAACTGCAAATGAATTGTTTTAATGATTCGGTGAAAGTATAATGCTAATAATTTAACAATACACTTGTGTTGTTAATTCATGAACGAAAAAACAAAGCAACAGGTGATGTGGCCAGCCCCGTGGTTAGGATGGATGACGTACAAAAAACGTTCGAGTAACACGCGCCAATTATTAATCTGTATTCATTTTTATTTGCTATTCTGCACAAATATCACTGATCAATCTGTGACATAAGAAGTATTACGTCAGAATAAATCAAAACCAGAGAGTTTTCTTATGTTTTATCTAGACTTGTCTTATTTTATATGTATGGTGTTTTTGAAAAGGCTTTACTTACGCAGCAGTCCCATATTTCAATATGTTGCATTGATGCAACTAATTTGATCTTTTGAGTTGTTCAACCAGACAAGCTGTTTAAAAAGACATTCGGTTTACCAATTATCACTGAGTTATACTTGTTTCGGGAATTACCATCAGTAGCATTAGATAAGGGCAAATCGAAATAATAAGCCTAGGCTTCTTAGAGAGGTGGAGTGTTTTCTGTTGTTTACTTACGTCACTAAACAAATAACTATTATGTCGCAATACCTCCAGCCAATAGTGAGCGTATGTTTTATCAAACTTGACTTGCTTTCCAGTGATTCATTTCACGCTGTGGGTGTACCAGACGTAAAACATGTTACTTTCCTGTTTTTGTTGTAGCAGCAAATAAAGAAACTGTATTTAACAGACACAGAAATACGTTTTAACATAGAACGAAAGTAAATATATTGTAATTGTCTGTCTTCAGATATGTCCTCCGAATTGAACAATGCAGGAAACGAGAAACAGGGCTTGTGTAGCAGCGGCGTACACTTTTCGGAAGATGGTTTGGTGATTCCACGGAAGTTGCCCAATCCATGCCAAGAATCGGCTGAGAGGAAGAACGTCCATCGAGAATTATTATTTAACAATAAAATGTGAGTTTCATGAAAGTACCTTTGTTTGATTATATAATCGCCGAGATCCTAACTTGTTCGATATGTCAGTTCAGAATCTCACGAGCAGGCCTGTCGACGGGGATGGGGGGCAAATGAGGCAACAGCGTAGGGGCCCGCGAGAATGAAATCTGGTTATGCCGTAAAGCATCTTTAGGCTATATCTTCATTTAATGATAGTATATGTACATGAAAATGATAAAGCTTTATAGAGAGATAGAACAGGTCCTACTTATGGCTCATCCTACTGTAATAATGCTATTTTTAAGATTTGTTTCATTTGTATTGTTAAGCACACAAAGTTAAGACATCTGTTTGTTAAATGAAACAATTTTAAAATGTATATTTAAAAATAATAAAAAGTTCAGAGACTGTTAAATATCAAACAAACAAAAGGTACCAGAGGAATAAGACAATATACAGATTTAACAGTCATTTTGTTGTAAAACTCTGTAGAAGCTTTAAATTTGTTGATGGAATGTAAAGTATGAGGCAGATCTGAATTTGTATGTTCAGTTTGTCTTTCAGGATTGCAGAAGTACAGAAATTGATGAATGAAAGTCGCACACCGAAATGGTTGCAATGTATCAAAAATCACCTATTAGTGTGAGAAGATGGCTTAAATTGATTAGCTAAAACACAAAAAGGATATTTTAGCAGCTATTGATTATCTTAATGATTTATTTAGTTGGTATTTTAGCAGCTATTGAAGGCTTCACTGACTGTTAACGAAAGTTAGCTTAGTCACTAAAGATAATATTCCATTAACTCTGCTGTATATACAAGTTAAGGGTGAAATTAGACTTTAGGAGTAAAATTGCCTTAAAATTGCTTCAAGCTTGATGACAACTTACTGTAGGATATTTGTGTATGTAACAGGCAATGCCAATTTACCAAACAGTAAATATATCTGCTACTTCTGTTGTAACAGGCAGTGTTAGTTCATCAGACAGTAGACATATCTGCTACTTGTGTTGTAACAGGCAGTGTTAGTTCATCAGACAGTAGACATATCTGCTACTTCTGTTGTAACAGCCAGTGTTAGTTCATCAGACAGTAGACATATCTACTACTTCTGTTGTAACAGGCAGTGTTAGTTCATCAGACAGTAGACATATCTGCTACTTGTGTTGTAACAGGCAGTGTTACTTCATCAGACAGTAAACATATCTGCTATTTGTGTTTTAATAGGTAGTGTTACTTCATCAAACAGTAAACATATCTGCTACTTGTGTTGTAACAGGCAGTGTTACTTCATCAAACAGTAAACATATCTGCTACTTGTGTTGTAACAGGCAGTGTTATGTCATCAAACAGTAAACATATCTGCTACTTGTGTTGTAACAGGCAGTGTTACTTCATCAAACAGTAAACATATCTGCTACTTGTGTTGTAACAGGCAGTGTTACTTCAATCAACAGTAAACATCTGCTACTTGTGTTGTAACAGGCAGTGTTATGTCATCAAACAGTAAACATATCTGCTACTTGTGTTTTATTTATTTGTTTTGAATTTTGCACAAAGCTACACGAGGGCTATCTGCACTAGCCATCCTTATTTAACAGTGAAAGACTAGAGGGAAGGCTAGTCATCACAACCCACCACCAACTCTTTTACCAATGAATAGTGGGATTGACCATCACATAATGCTCCCACGGCTGAAAGGGTGAGCATGTTTGGTGGATGGGGATTTGAACCTGCGACCCTCAGATTGCGAGTCAAGCACCCTAACCACCTGACCATGCCGGGCCACTTGTGTTGTAACAAGTAGCGTCACTCCATCAATCAGTAACCATATTTGCTACTTGTGTATGTTACAGGTAGCATCACTTCATCAAACAGTACATGTATGCATACAGTTAGGCAATTTAATCAATTAGTGTCACTTAAATTGATCAATTAATCAAAATTAGTGTTTCTGATTATCATAACAATTGACTAATTAAAGTCACAATATAATTTAATTGTCACAAAAATAATCAACCAATAAAAATTAGTGAATCTGATTATTCCAACAGTTGGTTTATCAAAATTACAAATAATTGTCACAAAAATAATAAAGTAATTGAAATTAGGGTTTCCTATTAACTATTTTCAATTATTCCAAATATGTAAGTAATTAAAACACAGTTTTTAAGTTTGTTTGTTGTCAAGCACAAAGCTACATATTCAACTATCTGTATTTTGAAAATGTTAGCCTGATAAGTTTTTTGTTAAAGGTTGTTCAGCTTTGGTGATATAGGAGTGAGTGGGTCATAATTAAAAGAGTCTTGGGTTTGATTCCCATTTCACCAAACTTGCTTACCTTGATTTTGTTATGGCAAAGGTGCTAAGGCTGTCTGTCATTATCACTAATTTTTAACTGACGAAGTAGAACCCATCACCAATTCTTTTTTTTAGCTTGTATGCACCATGGTTTGAGGAACACTGTACTAATCAAATGTATGTATGTACAGTGTGAATGTAAACTTCATCACCAGTTAAGTGCTGATTACAGTATCATCTATTCAACCTTTGTGTAATAATGATGAAGTACAGTGTGTATACTAATAATGCTGCTGTTTCTTTCTTTGTGTAAGTTACAGTAATCACAGAAATTACCCAATCAAATAAACAGGGTTGTTTTTATCACAAGCTGTGAACTTTGTGTTGAAACATAAAAGTACCTGTGGATCATGTTTGTAGCTTTCTTAGCTTCATGTTTCACTGTAATAATGTAGAACTATATGGGGGATAGTTTACTTATACACAGTAGGTATATAGTTAGAATATTATGAACAGTGACAAATGTATTATACAGAAATATGCCTTTTGGTAAGAAAAATAAAAGAAGTTATTACTTTGTTTAAAACTTTCTAGTGGTAAAAATGTATTGGGGCAGAAGTCTGAGCTACAAAAGGCTATGGAGAAGGTAAAAGATGACCAGAAGAAAAAAGAAATGGATCGGTTACGGATCAACCATTGTAGTCCATTAGAGAAACAACTGGAGATACAAGCTGTGAAACTTAAACAGGTCAGGAAGTTAAATACATTCACTTGTAAATATCAACATTTTATTAAGTCAGTCATATAAATTATGAGAATTTTATAATAATAAAATCTGTGATGAATTTGCTGTCAGATACTACTGTTTATAACTGCATGTTCCCATAAGTATACTGTTACTGCTCCCAAACGTATACAATTACTATCAGAACCAGTAGTACCACTCCTTTGCTTGAGTTAGCTTATAAGTTTCTTCCTCATAGCTTAATGATATTAATCACAGCACATTGTGCATAAAGGTGATTAATTACAACTTAATTGAATGATTGTGTATTTAATGCAGTAATATGGCATCAAAGGTAACATGTTTAGCAGTTATACATTAGATTTACAGTGAATCCTGACCACTTGAAAGAGCAAAGCCACCAAGAGTAGACTTGTGATTGGAAGTATATGAAAAGAGATATACTCGTATACTAAGATTCTTAAAATATATAAATATAAAAAATAAAGAAAGGTGACTTCAGTGTTCTCCACATTATTTAGGACTGCTATAAGATACAACCTAATATAGACCGTGTGCTAAATTTTGTGTTATTTATGTTGCAACCTTTTGCAGAACTCTGTTAAAATGAAAGTTGTGGTGTAATAATAGCCAATGGACTGATTTTACAATAGAAGTAGTAGTTCCATGAAAGTTGTGGTGTAATGATAGCCAATGGACTGATTTTACAAGAGAAGTAGTAGTTCCATGAAAGTTGTGGTGTAATGATAGCCTACGGACTGATTTTACAATAGAAGTAGTAGTTCCATGAAAGTTGTGGTGTAATGATAGCCTACGGACT